AAGTTATTTATGGCTGTGTTCGTGCAGAAGCTGTAGGTATAGACAATGAGATGCTTGTTCTATTTCCTGAAAATAACTCTGGGGGAAACCTTGGCGAATAAATACTGTGCGTGAGCTTAAAAGTGACTCAGCTCTTGGGAGCAGCCTGCCCAGCTCCCCAGGCTCCTGTCTCCCTCATGTGTTAGGATAGAGCGAGGCCTTTAGCAGCCAGGAGAACGGCCCTTGAGCTTGGCTCTTCTCTGCCCTTTTTCTTACCCAGAAAATAATACCACCTACCTTGTGCTATTTTTATTAAGATAGACAATATCAAGTGTATGACATATCTAACAAAATGCCAGGGAACATGCCAAGAATTCAGAAGACAGCCTGGGTCTGCCACCTCTGCGTGTTCTGCCTTAGAGCTGGTAATTTAGAAATCGTCACTGTTGGTGGTTCTGTGGTTAATTGGGGTTTCTAGGACTGTATTTTAGTTTTGCATAGGTATTTATAAATCTGATTTGACTTCTTGTGTGGGTAATGTTTAAGATCCTCTGAACTTTGATTTTCTTAGGAAATAGAAGTCTTATTCTGCAACAGTAGAAATCTTATTTTGCTTCAATAAAACAAGGTATAATTTTGCCAATTGGATTTCTGTTAAAATCCACAGTGTTCCTATAAATTTTGGTTTTAAACAGCTCTGTTGGCCAGCTAGAGCTGCCATAACAAAATACCACAGACTAGGTGGCTTAAATCAATATTTATTTGCTCACTGTTCTGGAGGCTGGAAGTACACAGTCCAGGCGCTTCTGGCAAGGTTGGTTGCTCCTCAGGCCCCTCTCCTTGTCTTACAGAAGGCCTACTTCTCCCTGTGTCCTCACATGGAGCATTCCTGGTGTCTCTTCCTCCTCCTCTTCTTCTTCCTCTTCCTCTTCTTCTTCCTCTTCCTCTTCTTCCTCCTCCTCCTCCTCTTCTTCTTCCTCCTCCTCTCCTCCTCCTCTTCTTCAGTTTATTTTTTAGAGAGTGCGTCAGGGGTAGGGGCAGAGGGAGAGGGAGAGAGAAAATCTAAGCAGACTCCACGCTGAGCACAGACCCCAACTCGGGACTCTATCTCACCACCGGGAGACCATGACCTGAGCCGAAACCAAGGAAACCAAGAGTCAGATGCTAACCAACTGCACCACCCAGGTGCCCATTTCCTCCTCTTAAAAGGGCACTAGTCCTCTCAGATCCGGGCGCCACCTTTATGACCTCATTTAACCTTATTACTCCTTCAAGGCCCTGTCTCCAAATATGGTCATATTGGGGGTTAGAGCTTAGGCAGATGCGTTTGTGGGAAGGACACACTTCAGTCCATGACAGTAGCGGTCCTCTGTCTTGGTTTTGGAAGGCCCACAGCAGAAACAGTGAGGATAGTGTTATGCTGGTAATCTGTAGCCTTTTTATCATTCCACCCCTTCAATGGGTGACATGTCCTCCTGTTCTTATTTTCTCTTTACGTTTCTCACCACTTGTATGTCCGTAATATGGTGGCTTTCCAACGTTTTTTGAGCATGACCCACAGACAGAAAAATATTTATGTGTGTGTGCTTACCTCTAACAAATATTGTACAAGTCAGTGGTTGGCCTTATAAAGTGCCATGTCTTTTCTTTTTCATTTTTTAAAAAGCTGTCTTCTGATGGGCTACTTCATGTAATTTGGGAAACCTGGTTACAGCTTAGGTTTAGAACTTTGATGTGTGAGATCTGTTGGGTGACTTTCCTTTTTAGTCTTTTGGGGCTGAGGACATGCAGTTGGTTTGCACTGATTTACGGTATTTTGGAAGTCTATCATAAGACTTCCCTGCAGAGGAAATTATAGTTTGGAAAATTTCCCTGCCATTTGGCAACTTTTGTAGGAAATAGAAGACGGTAGGGTGGAAAAGTTTCATCATATTGATTGTCTTGGCTGGGAGAGACAAACAGCTATGTCTTATATTCAGGAACGGGGCAGATTGTAATGAAATCTAACTGTGGCTCAGTGACAGATTTTTATATGTGTGCCTATTTTCTCTCTCAAGGTGTAGGCTTGGTTTTGTTTTAGAATTACCTTTCCCAGACATAAGCTCCTCCCCATAAGTAGAAGAATCTTTTAAAGAATAAAAGCCTAAATTTTTGATGGCTTTGTTTCAAGTCTTCATTCCATGTGATAGACCGTGTTGGGGCTTGTTTATAGTTTTATTCCTGGTATCTGTGGTTATCAGAGGAAGATGACCTACATGTTTAGCTGTTAACAATGAACTGTGCTGGCCCTGTGAGCTTAATAGGATAGATGAAAACCTGTTTCATGTCATCCAGAAGGATGCACTCAGGAAATTGGAATTGCTCTAAGTACAAACACAAAATGACTTTTTTTTTTTTTTAGTGTCAAGCCATAGAAAGTAATGGACCTAAGGATTATGTAAATGTTACTTTGAAATTGAAATGCAGCTTATTACAGGAGGACCCCAGGGTACTTCAAGGTTGTAGAGAATGAGTACATACCCTGCTTTTGCCTTTCCTTCAATACGTATGACCTTGGAGAAGTGTTTGAGCCTCCATTTCCTCATTCAGAAGTCTTCATTACACAGCAGTGAGCTAGTCCCTGGAATAGAAAGGTTACAAAGGTGAGTCTTCTCCCTTCTCCTGTTCTTCCTCATTCTGCCAAGTTTTTTTTTTTTTTTTTTTTTTTTAATAGGAAGTCATGAAAACATACTCAAGGGGCGCTTGGGTGTCTCAGTCAGTTGAGTGTCTGACTCTTGATTTCGGCTCAGGTCATGGTCTCGGTCGTGGGATTGTGGGATCGAGCCCTGTGGAGGCTCCACGCTCAGCGGGGAGTTTGCGTCAGGTTCTCCCTCTCCCCCTCTCTCTCTGCTCCCCACCCCCTGCTCACAGGCTTTCTCTCTCTCAAATAAATAAATCTTTAAAAAAAAATACTCAAAAAGATGGATGACCAGTGAGGATAATTTTTCCCATTTATTCTTTGTCTTAAATAATCTGAACAGTTGGTTTTATTATGATAAATAATAAAGTACAAAGATCTAGAAAGAGTAAACCTTAAAGAGAAGGGCAGAGTTTCAGGCATCCCTAAGGCTCCTGCACACGTAGATTGGCTTTAGTGAAGACCCAAGGACTCTCTTGAGACAGTGTGATGTGCTGTCCGCCCACTAGGAAGACCCTGTTGCTGACCCCCTCAGGTATAGAAGCTGTTTTTGTAACTGACACCTACACGGTTGCCGCTGGAAGACACCGAACGGCAGAGATTTAGCCAGAGCTGGGCAAACCTGACGTCTGCCTAAGGCACCTCAGCACTGAGTGTGAGGAACCAAGCAGACAGTGAGGGCCCAGGGTTCAGGTAGATGACGCTTAGAAGCTTCACGAGAGTGCTGCTGTAGAGACTGGAATAACTTGGTTTGTTTTTGCTTTAAAAGGATCTTCCCCCCTTGTAAGAGGAATGCGGAGCCTGAAGGGCCAGGGGTTTCCCATAACCACAAGGGCCTCCTGGGTGGGAGGGGGACAGACAGTGAGAGGATCCTGACCACGCCCACACACACACTGAGCTGGCTCTCCTAAACCTCATGTGGCTGCATCTCCAGTCTGGTGATCCTTAAAGAGCAAGAATCGGGGGGGAGGGGGGCACTGCTGGACAGCTGGGCAGATGACGGATTGGTGTGGACTGAATGGTGTCTTCCTCCCCCATGTTCATACATGGAAGCCTTAACCCCCAGTGTGGTAGTATTTAGAGGTGGGACCTGGGGAAGTAATTAGGTTTACAGAAAGTCATGAGGGTGGGGCCCCCATGATGGGATTCCTTATAAGAAGAGAAAGAGAGCCCAGATCTCTCTCTCTCTCACTTTTCCTTACGAAGAATTCTCTTGGATTGCTCTGATGACTCCTTCCTCACCTGTCCATTCAGAACAATAGTCCTAACACAGATGTTCTTTATACTCACTGACCCTGAATGTACAAGTCAGGAGTGAGTTCTCTGGCATTTTTATAAGATCCCTCCGTGCATCTATACTCTGCAGGGAGGAAAGCTACAAATGGCATACAGAAAGTTTGGTGTTAACAAAATGCATATCTGGCTTTTATGTATGTGGTATGTGGTTCTCTTGACTATTATGCCTCTCACATTGGTGAGCTTATTCTGCACTGGTGTTCGGTAGCCCTCGACCTCTTGGAGGTTAGAATATCTCCTGCTTCCCATTTTGGAAATCTGGTTCTCCTAGCTGGGCATTTATCTATTCCTGTACTATACACACGTGATGCACACATCCCTTTTCTTGTCCGGGACTATGCTTGCTTCAGGGCAGGGGACTTTATCGAGCACCTGCTGTATGCTGGGTCCTTCCCTAGGAGCTGGCACCGTCCTTGTGCCAAGGTGCCCATTGTCTAATGGAGAGTACTAGGAGACTCCTTGAGGGGAAATACTAAAATAACTAAGCTTTTTGGTAACAGTGTTGCTTAATGCTTCAGTAATGGGGCGATTTCTTTTTAATTGCCTTGGAAAGAAATTAACTTACTAGACATGATTTAATGTTGTACGTTTTTAACATTTAGTATACAACCTCTTTTTATGTATGCTCTTAAGGGATATTGTTGTAAATGATACGAAGTATAGCTTGGTAAACCTGAAAATTCCCTAGGTTGTTGCTGTTGTATTTAATGATGCTTGTTGCGATTGGCAACACCCTTGGGCAATCAGCAGAGCTTTCTCAGGAAGCTCTTTCCTCTGTGACCCTGGGCTGAGGTCCCTCTTGAGGGATCCCTGTTCTCACAGGGTAAACTATGTGAGACTGTTCCGAATTGGTCTGCTTTGGGGGGCTTGTTTCCCCTGTCATAGTTGCGTAATTACAAATGTTCCTGTCGCTTGAGTGCATGTGGTAGGAAGTCCAGGCATCAGCAAGACTGATAGGATGCCCACACGCAGTCCCGGGAGTAAACTGATGGGGCCCCTGGCCCATCCATGTGGCAGTGGACAGGTGTTTGCTGTGGTGAGGGACACCATGGCTTCAAAGGAGGGTGCCTTCATTGTCCACTGTGGCCCAGGATGTGAGAAACCAGGATGTTTTAATCACAAACACAGGTTTCATAATATCTGGAAAATGAGTTCATGTTCTAGGAGTTACTTTTAATTTCGGTATCTTTTTCTGTTCTAACCCAGGTGCGACATTAGAGGAAATAAACCAGCATTGGGACTGGCTGGAGCAAAACCTCCTACATACTTTGTCCGTCTTTGATAATAAAGATGACATTGCCAGCTTTGTCAAAGGGAAGGTAAAGGTAGGTCCTTTGACTGAAATGCTTCTCCCCATTTCCCCATCTTTCTTATTACTTCCATATGACATTTTGAGCACTGTAGCATTTTTGATCAGATTTGAACAATTTTCTCCACCATAACTGAACGACTTGGCTTAATACACAAAGGAGCTGGACTTGTCACTTGTCAAACTTCACAGTCAGTCTGGCAAAATATACCTGAAATTGGAAAATCCACATTCTCAGGCCTCAGTTTTTGTTCTCCTTTACAGAAGTGAAGGTCCTCTCTTGTCTCGGGGGAAAAAATGTTAACATTCATGTTTTTGCAGAGCAGAAACGGTGTATGACTCCTTAAACTCGTTATTCCCACCTTTTTGCAGTTGTGACATCTTGTCACTCTATTTTGTTGGACCTGGCACTTTCCTCTTCCTAAAGAGGCTGTTTATTCTTCAAATACGTTAAATAAATGGAATTAAGACCATTTACGTTTTAAGAAGGCACGACAGGACTATTTTGGAGGGTATCTGTTAATATCTCCTGTGAGTTTCATCTTCTCCGTCATTGCAACAACATGATTGGGACCCAGTGCTTTAAAAGCCCCATCAGGCAGGGAGAGACTGTTTCTCATTCTGATTTTAACCCTTATTAAACACTTTAACACATTAGCCTCTAATACAGTTTTCCTCCCTGCGGGTAAAATCCCCAGACCATTGATTTTGTTTATTTATTTAATTTTTCTTCAAAAGTTTGCCTCAAAAATGCTGCAGCTTTTAGTAAAGTGTGTCAAAGTGAATTCTTGGTTTTAAAGGGACAAAACAGAAGTATTCTTGTCCTTCCTCTTGTGTCACCAGCTAGGAACCAAAGGTCTCCTGAGTCAGGCAGTGTGGCAGTGTTGGTGTTACCTCTGGGCTGTGGGGCTGGCAGGTGGACCCAGGCTGTGGCGGGGACTCATCCAGCCCGTGGGTTACCACCTCTGCCTGGTCCGACTGACTAGCTTGGTTCCCTGGGTCAGATCGCACTGGGGCTTAGCTACAGAAATGCCTATTTCATGGTTATTTTTCACACTTACCTCCTTTCTCCTTAGTCTATCTTATGTTATGGTGGTTCTTTGAGTTAGGGTTTCTCCTTTTAATATGGAGAAAGGAAATTCATTTCTGCTGCAGTAGCTTTAGGAAAGCTTCTGCAGAGAAGGAAGCAGCTTTTCCTCTACCCTCCTAGATTCTCCTCCTAGGCCTGGAGATTAAACCGACAAACGTCGAATTGGTGAGAAAAACAGTTGATCAACGCGTGCAGTGTGCGGACACATGAGGGAAACTCAGTGATGAGTAACTCAGGGGTGGATAGAATGTGGGGCTTATACAGCATCTCAACAAAGAACAATACGTTTGTAGAGAAGGGACGAGACAAAGAGAAAGCCGTTCAGGCTTTCAGGGGTGGCCAGCTGTGGGAAAGTAAATGTGGGGAGAAATGAAGGGAAGAGAAGAAGGGTTGTTTTTGTGAGGTTTGTTATGTGCATTCCTCTCGGTACTGGTCAGAATCTTACCCTCCTCTTCCCGGCACAGAGAAGGGAGGCACCTTCACAAATGGGTGTTTGGTATCCTTGTTTTAGGCAAGTAGTGGGGGAGGACGGAGAGCCTTTTTGGTGTCTACTGTTTCTCAGTTGTCTTCAGATCAGAATAATCCTTATGCCAAAGTGGCATAGTTTGGAATGGCATATTCTGATCCCCTGCACATCAAAACTGAAATGCCTTCAAAAACAAAACAAAACAAAACAAAAAAACAGCAGTTGCAGGGAGACTGCTGGCCTGAAGCAGGGGTGGGGATGGAGGGGTTCTTGTGGTCTGAGATGGGGTTATGTCTTTGGGGCCACTATGTGCTGTAGGTTCTTCCTTTCCTCTGGGAAGATCCAAAGGAATTAGGAATTGGGGCTTTCCTAGTCATATCCTGAGTTGGCCACTCTGTAAAGCTTTAAAGAAATCCTTGTACTTAGAGTTGTGCTCATCACCAGACCCTGCAGTCCCCAGAAGTCAGGAGTCTGTGTGGCCACCATCATTGTGGCTGCATCTGGAGCCAGTGCGTCCTGTTCTACTTCCGTGACTCTCTGCTGTAGAGCCTTCCTAAAATCCCCTTCATGCCTCACGGTCCAGAGCTTTATATATTAGATAAGCTTCTAAAATTATTCATCTTTCTTATAACTTTTCCATTTTATAATGTCTGGTTAAATAAAATTTGGAAAAGAAGAAAAACATAATGAAGGAAATGAAAAGCACTTGAAATTTTACCAGACTTCAGATTCATTTAATAAATAATTCTTATTTTAATAGTAACTCCCAGGTAATTTTCTAAAATAGTTTATACAGGCCAGGCTTTGGTAGTTGTGCCCCCAAAATGGCCTTGTCTTTTTTTTTTGAAATATTTTATTTTTTAAGTAATCTCTGCACCCAACTTGGGACTCGAATTTACAACCCTGAGATCAAGAGTCACATGCTCTCCTGACTGAGCCACCCAGGCACCCCCAAAATGGGCTCATCTTACATTTTTGGGGGAGATTTTATTTATTTATTAGAGAGAGAGAGAGCGCAGGAGGGAGGGGCAGAGGGAGAGGGAGAAGCGTAGACTCCCTGCTGAGCAAGGAGCCCAACATGGGGCTCGATCCCAGGACCCTGAGATCATGACCTGAGCCGAAGGCAGATGCTTAACCGACTGAGCCACCCAGGTGCCCCAAAAGTGGCCTTGTCTTAAGGGACCTAGCCTTTCATGAAGCACAGGAATGTGGGGAATCAGAATTCTGATCTTGTCAATGAGTTGTCACCCCTTAGGAAGAAGCCACAGGCTATGTTCTAGGCACTTTTACAGCCTTTCCCTGGATTTAGAAAGGATCCTTACTGTTAACTTGTTGTTGGCAAAGCCATTGTACGTTGAGATGCTTTCTTTTCTGTCTTGTCTCCCTATGCACCTGAGTGCTTTGGACATGTTTATGACCTCGGCCAACAAACTTCTTTTCTACCTTAGAAGACTGTAGAGTATTTAGTGGTAGTGAAAGGTGTCAGATGTCAGGCACCTGTTGGCTTTGTATTAAAAGTTTTGAAGGAAATGACATTCCTTAGCTTTTTAAAAAGCGGGGCACCTGGGTGGCTCAGTCAACTAAGCGTCTACTTTCAGCTTTGGTCATGATCTTGGGGTCCTGGGGTCAAGCCCCATGTCAGGCTCCCTGCTCAGTGGGGAGCCTGCTTCTCGCTCTCCCTCTGCTGCTCCCTCTGCTTGTGCTCTCTCGTGCTCTCTCTGTCAAATAAATAAATAGGATCTTTAAAAAAAAAATACACTAACTTGTAACTCAAACTTGGATAGTTCTTCAAGGTCGATACATCAGATTCACGCTTGAGGCGGTAACTTGATCATCTGTTCCTGTAGGGAGAGCTAGGAGGTATTGTACAATAGTAATTTGTTAGAAGACTCAGGTTTAGAAGTCAGTGATTTGTCCAAAGCCTCAAGGCTGGTTAGTGGTCAAGTGAGAGACTTGTTCTTAGGTTTTCCACCCTCCAGCCCCCAGCTCATCTTTCCCCCAACCATGGCAGTGCTTCTGGGTGGTAGACAGATGGAGTAGCGAGCCGCTCTCCTCCACCCCTGGTGTGTGTTGGTGGGCAGTGTAGACGCCTCAGGTGCCTGTGCTTGGCAGTCCCTTCCCACCTCTGCCTGCCCCTCCCCTAGTCCCTCTCACCAACGAGGGGACCCTTATCTTTCTGTGTGTCAGGCTCTGATTGCGGAGGAGACAAGCAGCAGGCTTGCCGAGCAGGAAGAAGAGCCTGAGAAGTTCCGAGAGGCCTTGGTGAAGTTCGAGGCCAGGTTCAACTTCCCGGAGGCAGAGAAGCTGGTCACCTATTACTCCTGCTGCTGCTGGAAGGGCAGGGTTCCCCGCCAAGGCTGGCTGTACCTCAGCATTAACCACCTCTGCTTCTACTCCTTCTTCCTGGGCAAAGAACGTAAGTGAGGCTTGGGCTGACATTCGCAGATGAAGCTGACCCTCGGGATGCTCAGTGCTGTCCTGAGACACGAGGAAGAGCTAGGGAACAAAGGATTCTTAAATGAGTAGTTGAGATGGTAATGAGTGATTCTTGATTAACTTCAAATGACGTGTGCAGACAATTATATTTCTTTATGCTACCACCACTAAGGGGCTTTGATTTGGTGAGAATTCATTTTTTCCATTGCCTTAAACATTTCTGTGTAATTCGCTTCATAGAGCTACAGAAGGTTTTTTTACTTTATGTTGCTCTGAAAACACATGGTCAAAACTGACGCTTCTTAAGATGGGTGGGGGGCCTTTAAAAAGTTGCCAGCCCTGAAGATCATGACTGCTCCTGGAAGAGGAGCAAGATGTGCAGCTGTTCCTTGGAATGGGAAGGTCCACTTGAGATTCAGGCGGTGATTAACTTTTCACACGTTTATCCACTGACCGTCACCATGCGAGGTGATGGAATTCCAGGATAAGAAAGAAAAGCCATAAGTGTTGGTTGTATATTGAATTTTTAAAAAATCATTCCCCCTGAAACTTCTTTTGGAACCAAGTATTGTTGCAGGCATCCATGCAGGATGGCAGCTGTGTGTGTGTATATAAAACAAGTAAATGCGTATGTATGTGTTTATATATCCAATTTTTTTTTCCTTCCTGCATTTAAGTTTATATTTCAAGTTGAACCAGTGGGAGGGGCTTCTCTGAAATTGTGCTGACACAGCTTCCTTCCAGGGCCATTGCTTCTCTTTCTCATGTTGCCAGCTTCAGGTCTGATGCTCCAGTACGTACACCCTGTGTGCACAGCCTTTCCCTACCCCTGGACTGTGCTCTGACCTAATCTTGACTGTCCTTATTCTTGTACTTTCTGCGGTGCTTCTCAAAATTCATGCAGGTCTTTCCTTCCCTTCCCCATTCTTGTGCCTCTTTGGAAACTCCGGTTCACCCTTCAAAATCAGTTCAGATTTTTATCACCTCCAGGGACTTTCCTTGGTTCCCTTAAAATTTGCACCATGTTTGTGTTTCTGTTTTAGATTTTGTCAAGTTAGTGGTTGCTTATTTTACATGTCTGTTTGCCCTATTTGAATGAGCTAAAGTGCAGGGCTTTTCACAAAGTAGACGCTTGATGAAGTGAAAGTTGATGTTATAGGTTGCATATGTGTTTGTATGAACAACTTATGTGAAAGCAACTAGAAGTAGCTGAAGAAGCTTCTTCTCAACCTGATGTAGATGTGTGGCCTTTTAAGTTACTGAAGCCCTGAAAACATTATTACAACAAGTGGAAAGAAATGGTAGAAAAAGAAACACTTCAAGATCCCTTCCTTTATTTGAAAAAGAAAATGAGTTACTTTCTGACACCGTTCATTCATGGTGACTAAGCCAAATTTTGTTAGGATGCTGCGTTTTGAAAAAAAAATGATTTCTAGTATTTGTTGTCATAGTGTCTTTTCCCCATTTGCATTAGCAAGCGCTAGCTAGCCTCACTACCACTGTATTGGAAACATTTCCCAGAATAGAACACTTGTTTATAAAATGTACTGTTTGTACTGTATTGCTTTAAAAAGAATTCCATAGAAATTGTACTGTGTCTTCTAAGACTGTCATTTGACACAGTCTAAATGTTAAGCCTGTTTCTCTAAACGAAATCATGAATAATCCTCTTTTGCACTTTTTTTTTCATAGCGTACACCATGAATGCTGCTTTTGAAACCAGAAATTAGGTAGATTGAGAAAGTTTTGCTTATTTTGCAAATATTTAAGTTTAAATATTTTTGAAGAAGTTTTCCTGTTGTTAACTTGATATTTCAGAATGCTGTCCCCTGTACGTGTGCAGTAGCCAGCAACTTGGAAGATTTTACTTAAATCTTCTTTTAAGAAAATCATGAAACATGAGTTGGGTTCTAACACACAGCTGTCAGGCAGCTTTGTGCTTTCCCTTTCCTGCTCTGGTTTTGTATTTCAGCTTAAGGAAATCCTTGGACTCTTGTTTGCTGATACACTCAAGTTTGGCTCATATGTTAGGGTAACCTATGTATTTGCCTTTTTTTTTTTTTCTCTTCCAGTTAAACTTGTAGTCCCTTGGGTTGATATCCAGAAGTTAGAAAGAACGTCCAACGTCTTCCTGACGGATACCATCCGAATCACCACGCAGAATAAGGAGCGCGACTTCTCCATGTTCCTGAACCTCGATGAGGTGTTCAAGATCATGGAGCAGTTGGCGGACGTGACACTCCGGAGGCTCCTGGATAATGAGGTCTTTGACCTGGACCCAGACCTGCAGGAGCCGAGCCAGATCACCAAGCGGTAAGAGCTTCCGTTTTCAGTTCCTCACCCATAGGACTGATGTGCCACCACCTTCATTTACATGTGCTTTGTTAGTCGTAGTTGTACAAGGTTTAAATTTCCCTTGTGGCGTGATGCAGATTTTCCTGTGGCGTTAATCATGATTGTGACATAATAATTGGCAGCGACTGTTAATTTTTTTTTTTTAATAGTGAAAGTTTTTTTTTTTTTTAAAGATTTCATCTATTTGTTTTAGAGCAAGTGAGCTGGGGGAGGGGCAGGGGGAGGCGGAGAGGGAGAGAATCTCGCAGACTCTGCACTGAGCGTGGAGCCCAGCTCGGGGCTCGATCCCATGACCCTGACATGACCTGAGGCGAAACCAAGAGTCAGACGCTCAACTAACTGAGCCATCCAGGTGCCCCGATTGTTAATTTTTTTTATGCAGTTGACTTTGTTTTCTGGATCCAATTCTGCTTTTTTTCCAGATATTTGGAAACTGATTTTTATAAAAAATACTTCTAAGGAAAATGTAATATGGATAGCTTCATGATAGAATTCCATTCAGTACTGTGCTTTATCAGTGAACATTAAGAAATTTTATATTTCCATTTGAAAGTGCTTTGTAGAAGAAGTTTTCAGGACAGTGGATTTATTTTTGGTACCGGTTTGTCATTAGAAATGTGCCTTAGTAATGCTCTAAGTTAACATTCTTTGTTATTGGTTTGCCCCCGGCTGATGCTAGGTGTGGAGATGTCTGGGGCAGTTGCTTGAATTATTAGTCACTTTAAAGAAGTTCAGCTTTATTATCTAAAATTTAAACGGTGGTGTTTGTCCGAGCTTGACTGTGATTCCTGACTTGGTGGTTTAGACCAGGTAACTGCAGAGTTGATACAAAGATACCCTTAGAGAAACAAGTCATCTGTGAAGTGCTGTTGCGGCTGGATAGATTTGATATCGTTACAGAATCACCGCTACTGTTTAGTACTACTAGACATGAAAAAAAATTTTAATCTGGTAAAATACACATGACATAAAATTTGCTGCCTTAATACCACTGAACCATACAGTTAAAAATGGATAAGTACATTCACATTGTTGTGCAACCATCCCCTCCATCCAGCCCTGGGGTGCTTCATCTTGCAAAACTGAAACTCTGTCCCCATTAAGCAATAACTCCATTCCCTCCTCCCCCAGCCCCTGGCAACCGCCACCCTACTTTCTGTCTCTGAGTTTGACTACTCGAGGTCCCTCATGTAAGTGGACTCATACAGTATCTGTCTTTTTGTGACTCGCTTATTTCACTTAGCGTCATGTCCTTAAGGTTCATCCATGTTGTAGCAGGTGCCAGAATTTCCTTCCTCTTTAAGGCTAGGTAGTAAAATAGTCCATTGCATGGATATACCACATTTTCTTTATCCGTTCATGCATCTGTGGACACAAGGCTGTTTCTACCTTTGGCTGTTGTATCTGATGTTGCTATGAGCATGTGTGTGCAAATATCTTTTCGAGTCCCTGCTTTCACATCTTTTGGGCATATACCCAGAAGTGGAATTGCGAGATCGTGTGGTAGTTCTGTGTCGTTCTATGTCCAGTCATTAAAAACATTTTTTAAATCTATTGTAAGATTCCTGTTATTCCTTACACATGTTTGCTGTTTTCTTGGAACATCTGGGAGAACATGTGTCTAATTAGTGGTCTCTAAATGGCAGTGTGTTTTTTTTTTTTTAAAGATTTTATTTATTTATTTGAGAGAGAGAGAGAGAGAAACAGCACGAGAGGGGAGAGGGTCAGAGGGAGAAGCAGGCTCCCTGCTGAGCCGGGAGCCCGATGTGGGACTCGATCCCAGGACTCCGGGACCATGACCTGAGCCGAAGGCAGTCGCCTAACCAACTGAGCTACCCAGGCGCCCAAAATGGCAGTGTGTTTGTAGTTGGCATGTGTTCAGCAAGAATTTAGAGCCCCTGCTGTGTGCATGCGTTGGAAATTTGATCGTGTATCGTCCCAAGTAAGGCAAAAATCAAAAAGTGAGCTTTTTTGGTGAAACTCCAGTGAATTTCACTTGGTTTTATGTCCTCATCATCTCACAGTCCCTTTGTGAGAGGGGATAGTGCTGCTTGTCACTCCATTACGAAAGGAGAGCCTTGGGGTGCTGCCCTTGGGTCTTCTCACTCCCCATCCTGAGCTCCTCCCTGTGCCTCCTGACCCCGGGTTTCCAATTACCATCTCTGACTCTGTCCTAGGTCCAGAGAAGACAACCCAGCACAGCGGCAGCCCCACTCTCTCATATATCTTCAAATAACTCTATAGTCGTTCGGTATCTGAGTCCTTTTAGTCCAGCTTACAAAGACTGGTTAAAAATGAAGAAACCAGTCTCGGTTGTAGGAGTTGTTAAAGGGCTCCTATAAATCACCCAGTAAAGCTGCTCTCTCTCCTGCAGGTTTTGCATCGATGCGTGTGAATTGCGATGTGTGTGAATTGCAGCCAGGGTCTTAGAACTAGGAGGCCGGCTGATAGCCTGCATGCTCCGGTCAGCTCCATGGGCATTGGGATTTCAGGTGACTTCTCACAGATCTCCTGATGTTCCTTCATGGCTCCACTTCTAGATGTAGCATTGTGGTTTGGGGTAGAAACTGGGAAAGAAGAGGCTGATGGCAGGTTTGTCGCACTTAAGACCCTTCGGTAAAATCCTTCATTTTGGAAGAAAATTCATCAGCACAGGCAGTCTTCATGCATGTTCCAGAATTCAGGTGAATTATATGAGGCTCCCCCTCTTCCACTTTCTATCCTGGAAACCATTAGGAAGAAGAGAGAGAAAAGGACAAAACAGGGCCCCGGCGGTGGTCAGGGTGGCGCTGCTGGGACCCCACAGGTGCCTTGGGCTGGCCCTGTGATGGACGGCAGGATTCTGGTCCGTGGTGTGTTTTGCTGGTCTCTGCACTTTGAGTGACTTCTTCCAAAAGTGAAAGGCATGTCCTTGCCTACCAGTTCCTCGCTGGGTCTCTTGTGTAGCTTTCTGTCATGGAGACATAGGCCTGTGGACATAAACAGGTAATGACTCAGTCAACTTGACATCCTGCCAAGAGAGCCCAGGTTTTCAAGTTGAGGAAAACAGTCTCTTGATGCAAAAGGCACGATCAGAAGTGCTGGAATGCTCCTCAGGCTCCCTTTTGTTGATGTATTTTCACTTCCCTTCCCAGATAACAGCTTTAGAAAGGTGCCCTTGGGGTCACTGGTGTGGTGAGCCATCTGATTATGAATTAGTCATGATTGCTGCTCAGGCTCACTCCCGTGGGACTTCGGGACAGAGCCCAGCGAGGCTGGGACTCCAGCGGGAGCCGGGAGACGGGAGACGGGATGGTGCATTGCACAGGAGGACCCAGTCAGACAAGGTAGAGCTGGCTGGCCCCGGGGAGTCCTCTGGCCCAGCCCTCACACTTCGCAGAGGAGGGCCTGGACCAGGGATTCTGGGGTACAGTAACAGAATCCAGGAGGGCGGGGAAACGGAGACTGAGGAAGGGACTTCTGGGGGCTGGGGGAGCTAATAAATGGATTGGTCCTGAAATTTACAAACAAAATAACACTTGTAAAGTTGTGAGTGGTAGGTTGAGAACTGTGTAGCCAGCTGTTTGGGGCAGGGGGAGATTGGGGAGGTGATGGGTTTCACTAAATCAAAATTAATATCTTCATTAAAATCTGTATTGATTGATGGAAAGTGCTGGAGGAAAACTCAGTTAATGCAGTACAGTGAATGGAGGGTCTTTCCCCTGGTGGAAGCTTTTTCTGTGGTATCCAAAGGTAGGCAGTGGCTGCCGGGGTTGGGGGTGGGGGCTGATGTCTTCAGAATAAGCCCTCATCCCCTGTTGCCTGGCTGATTCTTAGCTCCCTGGTCTGACTTTTCAGACCTTCTTTGGCCTTTTCTGCCCAGATTCACTCCCTTTCCTGCTGTTCTCCTTGTGCCCCTACTAAGAATGCCCAGCCTAGCTCTGTAATTTATTCGACTTTCTGTCCTTGTGATTCTGGTTCAGAGTCACCATCTCTTAGGGGCTCCTCATGCAGCCCCGAACAGTTCCTGCCTCACGGGGGAAGGCCTGCGGCTCCCCACCCTGCAGAGCCCTAGCTGCTTTGTACTTCTCCAGGCTGTTCTGGAGCAGGATGGAGGGCAGAGGGTGAAGGCAGGAGCCTTGAGCGTGAAAAAGCCTTCTAGATGCCAGTGTTATTGAGGTCTTCGTCTGCTGGAGCTCCGAGAATGGATTTTTCAAAGAAATGGGGGCACTGCGGCCCCAGCTGAGTCCATCTGCAGCCTGTTGTCTGCTGTCTGAGGGCTGGGTTTCCCTCATGCCCCCATTGTGTGCAGGGGACCCAGGCTGCTGTGTGCTCTGTGTAAGATGCTTCATAGCAAGGTTGTCCTTCTGTTTCCTTAGTGCTCTTGGGGGAAGGTAGAAGAAAGGTGTTTCACGTAAACACACATTCGAGGGATGCCATGTTGTATGTGCACACTTTTGGGCTTTGAGGACAAGTATGCGTATCTGGTCTTTCTGCCTTGTTTCTTTTTTTTTAAAGATTTTATTTATTTATTTGACAGAGACAGCGAGAGAGGGAACACAAGCAGGGGGAGTGGGAGAGGGAGAAGCAGGCTTCCCGTGGAGCAGGGAGCCTGATGCGGGGCTTGATGCCAGGACCCTGGGATCATGACCTGAGCCGAAGGCAGACGCTCAACGACTGAGCCACCCAGGCGCCCCTTTCTGCCTAGTTTCTACATTGCTGGCTCTTGCCCAGAGTTTCAAATGAGTTGGGCGTGGGTCTGTGGGTGGGTGTGTAACTAAGAGCCTCTAGAAATCCTTATACATATCTTTATGGGGCAGACTGCCTGCAGAGGGCCAAGTTATTCCAGAAGGGCAGGGGTGGTACTTGGGCACAAGTCTAGGCCTCAGGTCTAGGGCACAGGGGGGACCTCCTCACACCCGGTGCTAATGCGGGAGCCCACCTGCCCCAGTGTGCCACACAGCCTGAGTTTGGGGAAGCACTTGGCCTTGAGCAGCTTGAGCTGCTGACAAACAGGAGGTTTGTGGATGTGGGGTGACACGAGGGAGGGAGAGTTCCCATGGCTTGTGAGGCCTGACACGGGTCTTTTCAAAAGTGTTCTAACAGGTTGATGGGGAAAAGAGAGAGGGAAACCTGTTTTTGATACATTTGTACCAAAACTAGGAGGAGAAAATCGAATTCCTAGGTTTGCAGAGAAACGAAAGAACAACCCACCCTTTCATTTCTTGGGTCTAAGGTCTAAGGAATGAAGTGTGGAATTTTAAATGTGGGCATGTAGTTTAGAATTGTCCACCTTGTTGTCATGCAGGACTGCACGCGTTAATTGCAGCTCTTCGAACAAACTTGGTGTTCTTGCTCCCCACGTTTATGTCCTATGTGGCTACAGGCTCATACAATGGCATGTGTTAAGACAGGAGGGTTTGTGGCGCCGTCCCTTCTATTCTCAGCTGTCGCTTTCTCTTGGAGCAATTGCTTTGACCAGTGCATACCAGCAAGGTGGACAATGGGTGGTAAATATTGTGGGGGCTCCCGGGCTAGTTTTCATCTTTATAGGGGCGCTTCTGCCCTGGCTTACAGGCCTGTGCTCGGCTACTGCTTTCTGAATGGTCGGTTATGGCTCATGTCTGTAGGGCATCTCTATGGAGGAAGAGGGGGAGCCTTTAGTAAGTACTGGAAGGTCTGAAAGGCAAATTGTGACCAGTGGGCTTTGTTTCTGGTGCTCTTCGGAAAGAGGAGCTGATATTTTTAGCATCAAAACTACCACCTGCGAAACAGACCTAAAGGATGAAGTGGTCTTACTCTGAGCTTCATTAAAGGGCTTGAGCTACTCCTCTCTCAAGCTACTACAGGATCTTCATCTCCATCTGTTGGAAAGTTAAATGCCACATATATAGGTATAATGCAGATTTAGAGGCAGAATTGGAAGAGGACTTTCTAAGGAAGGAAGATGATTTAGGAAAGTCCTTCCTGCTGCCTTTTTTTTTTTTTTAAGATTTATTTATTTCGGAGAGAGCGTGTGCAAGCGTGCGGGGGGAGGGGCAGAGGGAGGAGAGAATCCTGAAGCAGACTCCTTGCTGAGCGTGGAGCCCGACAAGGAGCTCGATCCCAGGACCCTGAGATCCTGACCTGAGCCGAAACCAAGAGTGAGCAGCTTAACCAACTGAGCCACCGAGGTGCTCCCCTCCTTTCTGTCTTTGTCTTATAACATGAGGTCACTGGTCTGTGACTGCTGAATGTGTGAGAGATAGACCCCAAGGGTGACAGAGAACAGCCCAGAAAGGAGAGTGGAGATGTGCTCAGAAGCCATGGAGAATGGGGTTGAACTGAGTGGTTGGCTGGTGTAGCAGGTGCACCGAACAGAAAAATCATATAACTGAGTGCCTTATTCTTATACTGAAGAGCTGGCTGCAAAAATACCAAAAGTCCTTCCACCCCCTCCCCCCCGCCCCCGTGCTTCTAGGAAGGACCAGACGACAGTTGAATTCAGTGGTGGCTGGACCCACATCTGTGAGATACGTACAGGCAGGCTGTGTCGGCTTTACATGGACCAAAGCCAGCACGGCCAGCCCGCTTTCAGGACAAGGACATAAACCCTCCAATGTAAATATGCTGAATATAGGTCTGCTTTCAGGGAAGTGGGGTGATCTTGAGGGTCCTTGACTTCCATCCTGTAGTACGTGAATTTCTAGAGCATTCACGGTGCTTTCCCACGTTCTCCCAGCTCCTCTGGGGAGGAAGCGCAGGCTCCTTTGGAAACAGCCATTCCTGGAATATCAGGTGCTGCAGCCTTTGGCCCACAGTAACTGGACCCATCTTGATCTGTAGAATTTGTCTAATTTCTCGCTGTGCCCGGAGGACTTTCTGAACATGCATGTATTTATCTTTGTGAGGGATTGATAGTAAATTCCGAGCACTCCCCCATCTCTGTGTGGGGTCTCCTGGGAAGACAGTTGTGTGATGGTGTGAAAATGAGGACTGGGTTGGAAACGGGAAGCAGGGCAGGAGGGGCCTCTATGTGTGAGCCTGGCCCTGGCGAGGGGAGGATGTGTCTAAAAGATCACTCAGACTGGGGCGTTTAAAATTTATGCAACATTTTAAAAGTTACTCTTTTCCTAAAAGAAAATAGCTTCATTTTTAAAAAAGCTAACAATATGTGGTCAGGTAGAAAATTCAAGCAGAATAAAAATGAAAAGTGGAAATCCTACTACACAGAGTCAACTACTATTAACATTTTATGCAAAATCTTTTTACATATCACTTTCTGCAATTTTATAGAATTTATATAAATGGGATCATACTGTAGAAGCTATTTCTAACCTACTTTTTCAATGTTGTGGACATCATATGTTTTCAGGGATCTCTTGAAGCAGAAAGGTTAGGTATTGTTTCCATTTTACAGATGTCAAGATGTGATATGGAGAAGTGTTATCTAAGGTCACCCAGCTAATAAGAAAGCTAAGATTCATATTCCTTACTTTGAGCGCAGTGCTAATTCTCTCAGGTAAATTTAAAGAGCTCTTATTCGATGTGGCAAAGAAAAATTTTTATCTCTGTACAGTGGAATTTCCTCTCTACTAGAATTTTGGGGTATGACATAAATTCATCAGTATTTGCAAACATTGTGATTTCGCTGCCTTCTTGCTTTATTGGATGTTAGAGCCAAGACCCAGGATATGGGGGGGGTCCCCTAGGGTAGGATTTCTCCCCCATTCTCCACTGTCCATACTGATGTGACACTGATGGGCTTCTCTCCAGTGATACTTTTACTTGGATTTGTTTTTTTATTTTTTTAAATTTATTTTTTTATTTTTTTTGAGAGAGAGAGGGCTGGGGGAGGGGCAGAGGGAGAAGGAGAGAAAGAATCTGAAGCAGGCTCCACGCCCAGTGCAGAGCCTGACGTGGGGCTTGCTGTCATGACCCTGAGATCGTGACCTGAACTGAAATCAAGAGTCAGATGCTTAACCGACTGAGCCAGCCAGATGCCGCTTGGATTTGTTTTTTAAAGGTAATAATAGCTAATGTTTATTCAGCACTTACTGTATGCCCAGCACAGATCTCAGTTTAACTGCTTTTTTGAGCTGTCATTCATATACCATACAATTCACCCTGTTAAAGCATCCCAATCAGTGGTTTTTCAATCCAGAGAGTTGTGCAACCATCATCACGCTCGGTTTAGAACATTTTCTTCACCCCAAGAAGGAACCCCAGACTTATGAGCAGTCACTCCCCACTTCTCCCTTATCCCCTGCTCTACATAATCACTAAGCTATTTTCTGTCTTTATGAGTTTTGCCTATTCTGGAAATTTCATATAAGGGGAATCAGGCGGTATGCAGTCTTTTATATCTGTAACACTTTCGAGGTCAGTCCCTGGTGTAGCTTGTGTCAGTATTTCGTGTGGCCGGGTGATCTTCTGTTGTGTGGCTCTGTCCCGTTTTGTTGATCCGTTTATCAGCGGATGGACTTGGGTTGTTGCCATCCTGAACACGCGTGTCCGGGTTTTTGAGCAGATGTTCATTTTCGGTTCTCTGGGGTCTACGCCTAGGAGGGGAATTGCAGGGTCGTATGGTAAGTCCATGTTGAACCTTTTGAGAACCAGCCAAACTGTTTTCCAGACGGGCCGCACCATTTTACATTCCCACCCGCGGTGTATGAAGGTTTCCGTTTCTCCACGTCCTCGCCGGCACTTGGTGTTACGGACTTTCTGATCCTGGATCCTTAAACCATTGTTTGATGGTGATGCACAGTGTTGCTCAAACCAGGAAGGAGTATCTGTTTTGGTCTGTGAGTTTGTTGTCTTACTTTTGCGCAGAGGCGACCCCTTCTGCCTTGAGTACCCGTTCCCTCCGAGGTTGGCTGTGAAGTGGGGTGCGTGCTGGGACCCACGCAGGACCCGGCGGGGCTCATCCATTTTCACATCCGGCTTCACAGGGTTTTCTTTGTAAACCCATGTGTTCGTTCACCGTTCCTGCCTCTTTGTCTTCTCTCTGCCCCCTCCGCCAGGGACCTGGAAGCCAGAGCACAGAACGAGTTCTTCCGGGCGTTCTTCAGGCTGCCGAGGCGCGAGAGGCTGCACGCCGTGCTGGACTGCTCGCTGTGGACGCCGTTCAGCCGCTGCCACACCGTGGGGCGGATGTTCGCCTCCGACCGCTACATCTGCTTCGCCAGCAAGGAGGATGGCTGCTGCAATGTCATCCTGCCGCTCAGAGAGGTAGGCGGAGCCCCGGCCGGCGCTTCCCGAGCCCGCCTTTTGTCCTTGAGCCCGGGGTGGCCAGGTCACCGGCTGGGGCAGGGCTGCTCACCCAGTGGGGCTTTGCCGGCTGCAGACGGGCCTCTGGGGAGAAGCACGGCCTGCGTTTGACCAGTCCCCATGTGCTTGTTGCTTTTTCTGTCGTTGCTCCAACAGCCTGAAATGTGCCTGGAAGTGACTGGTGAGAAGCAAGCACTCTCACCTCCCTGCCTAGCAGTTAAAGCTTTTCCAACAGCTCTTAGGAAGGATTCCACCCCTTGCACTCACAAAAAGGGGAAAGAAAAAAGGCAACCGACAAAAAGCATCACCTTTTGCCAATGTCAGATTGCATGACTTTTGTACCCTCCTGGGACTTGAGTGAAACATTTAAAAAATGTTTCCTTTAATATGGATCAGGTCCCTTCCCTTCCTGCTACAAAATTCTGCAATCTGTCCCTGGAAATGCAGGGCAACCTGAGGCTACTTCCTGATCTGCCGTCCTCAGTCCTTTGGTTTCAGGGCATGTCTGTGGTGACCATACCCACCCCTCTGTTTCCCATGAGGACCTCCAAATTCTGAGCACTGTTCTTTGGGAAATCTCAGAATTTTTCATCCATGTGATCTACCTCCATGTCATTTTCTAGATGTTTTCATTTTGCAAATATTCTTACTTAGGAGCGGAGCAAGGAATCCAAGAGTTGTCCTGTGCACTTACTTGTCTTATTGTAACATATACGTAACATCACATTTCCCACTTCACCCACTTTTAAGTGTTATGGTTCAGTAGTGTTAAGTACATTCACAGTGTCATCCTACCATCACCAGAACTTCCTTGTCTTCCCCAGCTGAAACTCTGTTCCCATTAAGCACTCACTCCCCATCCTCCCTCTCCAGCCCCGGGCAACCACCCCTCTACGTTCTGTCTCCTAATCGCACTATTCAAGGTCCCTCGTCTAAGTGGGATCATACAGTATTTGCCCATCTGTGGCTGGCTTATTTCACCGAGCATGATGTCCTCCAGGTTCATCCATGTTGTAGCACGTGTCAGAATTTCTCTCCTTTTCAAGGCCGAGTCCTATTCAGTTGTGTGGGTAGATCACATTTTGTTCCTCCGCTCACCTGTCGATGGGTACTAGAGTTACCGTAAATAGGCTGCCTTAGATAATTTTTAACTTCTGTATCCGTTCCTTAGGGCAGTTGTCTGGTTTTGCCTTCTTTCTGGTGGTATTTTCCTAAATAGGTAATTGAAATGCCTGCCCTCTGTTGTCTGTTGCTGGACCTTTTGTGTGTAACTTTTTGCAATAGGTGGTGAGCATTGAGAAGATGGAGGACACAAGTCTGCTCCCTAATCCCATCATCATCAGCATCAGGAGCAAGATGGCCTTCCAGTTCATCGAGCTAAAGGACAGAGATAACTTGGTGGAAAGCCTGCTCATGAGGCTGAAGCAGGTGCACGCCAAACACCCCGTGCATTATGACACCTCACAAGATGAAGACATGGTATGATGCTTAGAAACAGCGGGATCCTATAAAGTGAAGATCTCTTTTCTCACCCCTTCTAGGGCAGTGGTCTCTAAAGGGAGTGCGCATAACCACAATCCACTTGGAAATGAGAGAACTGTGTTAGAGATGATTGGGCCTGTGTATTAGACAGTGTATCACTTCTGATACTCGAGGGGTCCTGAGTGGGTGCTGCACAGGTTAGAGGGTGGCCCACGCAGTGAGTGGTTTGAGGGGCTAACAGGGTACCCTGCTCACAGGTTAGAGGGGTTCATGGGGCACCACCCCACACCAGAGGTTAGGGGAACTGATGGGCACCCCTCCATATGTTAGAGAGGTTGGTGGGGTACCCACACACATCAGAGGGATTGACAGGGCACCTCTCCCAGGCTGGAGGGTTTGATGGGTATCGACCTGCATGCAGGTTAGCGGACACCTTCCTCGTAGGTTGGAGGGGTCTGTGCTCCGCCCCCTCCCCTGAGATTGAGGGGATGTTATTTGGGGGCAGATGGAACTTGTTAAAAGAGAAGTTACATTGTCCTTAAGGCTGGACAGCTGGAAAACAGACCTGGATCTGCTGGGGACTCCTCTCCTGCTGTTTCACACCCGTCCCTCTCTTTCTTCACCTCTTTTTTTTTTTTTTTAAAGACTTTATTTATTTGACAGAAAGAGACATAGCGAGAGAGGGAACACAAGCAGGGGGAGTGGGAGAGGGAGAAGCAGGCTTCCCGCGGAGCAGGGAACCCGATGCGGGACTCGATCCCAGGACCCTGGGATCATGACCTGAGCCGAAGGCAGACACTTAACGACTGAGCCACCCAGGCGCCCCTCTTCACCTCTTTTTACAAGTGCAGTGACAGGAAGGAAAGGATATAGTTTCTCAGTACCCAAGAGCTGTTTTCTGAAGATGGTCACCCTCAGTTCTGGAAGCATACAAGAAATGGTTCTTGTCTGCCCCCCTCTTGGCCCCATACCCTGTATGCTGTGAGCAGCCTTCCCAGGAAAGCACATTCTTTCCTGAGGATCAAATCTGTTGGGGCTAATGTTAGTCTATTTCCCTTGAGTCCTACACAGGCATGTTTAAGTATGTTACCTTCGTGGCGCCTGGGTGGCTCAGTTGGTTAAGCACTGGGCTCTTGATCTCAGCTCAGGTCACAATCTCAGGGTCCTGGGATTGAGCCCCTTGTCGGGCTCCATGCTCACTGGGGAGTCTGCTTGAGGATTCTCTCTCTCCCTCTCCCCCTGCTCGCTCATGCTCACACACTCACTGTCTCTCAAATAAATAAATTTAAAAAATACGTTACCTTCATGTCTCCAAAGGCAAAACAAAGACTCTTCCATAAGTAATGACTTTCTTCTAGCTACCTCCTTTTTTTATGTCTTTCCAGCAGACTTCACCTGTGTTTCATTCAACAAGCATGTGCAGTGACCACAAGTTTGGGGATCTTGAAATGGTGTCCTCTCAAAATAGCGAGGAAAGTGAAAAAGAGAAGAGCCCGCGGCTCCACCCCGAGGCCCTGATCTCTGTGTTCCAGCAGGCGGGCAGCCAGAGCCCCGACTCACGAATGGTGGGTGGCCTGGCTCTGCCTTTGCCGGACCCCGGCAGAGCCGGCACGGGTGGGGGTTCCCAGCTGTCGGGCCTGCTGCGGGCCGTGCACCTGCTGGCACCAGCCTCGCGGGCCTCGGGAGAGCAGGTGTGGTGCAGGTTGCTGGCCGCCCAGCAGCTAGCACCCCTCCCTCTCCCTCGTGGGCAGTAGTGGGAGGGCCCAGCCGATGCCAGCTGCCTGGGCACGACCGGGTGCATGGAGGATGTGATCAGATGACTGAGGCCGTCGGCTTTCCCTACCTGCCCCTTAAGTGGCTCTCGGACACAGCTCTCGGCCATGTGACCTGGAGAGCATCAGTGCTGTCCTTTGTGGGTTCTTGCAGGTGCAGAACAAGTGTTCCCCTTCTTACCCAGGGGTGTCTGTGTGGGCTTCTTTTACAGTATTGCTTGGTTCTCTCCTGGAACAAAAGGTCTCCTGTGCTGTAGTTTTACCGGACAAAAGATATTTCTGTTACATCTACTTATCCTTGTCCTCTTTATAGGGAGAATCCGAGGGAAATGTCATGCACTGTGGGGTAAAGAGGCTAGAAATTGTACTCTGGAAAGGCACTGCGGCTGGAGGGAGGCTGCGTTGGGACCACGTGTGCCGGGGGTGTCTGTGGACGTTACCACCCCAAGCTGTGCCTTGTCACCTACTTGGCTACTGTATAATCGTTAGCTTTATTCATTCAAAACGGAGCCTTCTGATAATGCTTTACACAGAGCAGCTCAATGAACTCCTGTAAGAATACTGAATATATATGGAAGGTTCTCCCCTTACTGGAGAATGCAGATAATGAAAAGCATATTAAACATGTTGCTTAATGGGACGCCTGGGTGGCTCATTCGGTTAAGCGGCTGCCTTCGGCTCAGGTCATGGTCCCAGGGTCCTGGGATCGGGTCCCGTATCGGGCTCCCTGCTGAGAGGGGAGCCTTCTTTTCCCTCTGCCTGCCCCTCCTCCTGCTTGTGCACGTGCTCTCTGATAAGTAAATAAAACCTTAATAAAAAAACAAAACATGTTGCTTAAAAGGTACTAACAACTCCTGTCATCTAGGGATAATTTTAAAGAATTTTTAGTTGCCTAGAGAAATGGTATCTGTCTTGTGTCTGATAATGAGAACAGTATGATTTTTTTCAGGCTCCAGTTTTTCCTCTGGCTGTCCCGGAGCTTGGGGCAAATTATGAGGTTCCCCCCCGCCCGCCCCTCCCTTGTTCACCCTCTGAGCTGACCCGTGTTTCAACAGCTGGCTTGGTGTTAACATCCTGAGATGCTTCCCCTGATGTCCCCCACTCCCACCCCACCCTCCCAGCTGCTTTGGACTTGAGTATCTGGACAAACCTATTCTTACTATCAACTTTGCCAAGGAAATGGCATTTTATTTGCGTAAACTCTCCTGCTGGGTTCTGAACTCCAGAAGGGCTGTTACTTGGTGTTGTTACTCATCTTTACATCCTCTGTGCCTGCGAGTGTTTCAAAAATATTTGCTGAACCAGTTGCCCATCACTGTTGGTCCCTCTGTTAACAGAGGCAGCCTCCCTCTGCGGTGGATTGCAGATGGGCTGTGGTGGAAGGCATGGAAGGGCTTCTTTGCACGTTAACAGCATTTCCATCTCCAGTCCAGGGAACAGATAAAAATAAGCCTGTGGAATGACCACTTTGTGGAATATGGCAGAACCGTGTGTATGTTCCGCACAGAGAAGATCCGGAAGCTTGTAGCCATGGGGATCCCCGAATCTTTACGTGGCAGACTCTGGCTGCTTTTCTCAGGTACGTGTTTCTGGTATTTTTAGGCAAACTGTTATTTCTGGAGCGGACACAGGAACAGAGGCCCAGATCTGAACAGCGTGTATGTGCAGACAGGTCCTCTGTCTCTGGATTCTTCCTGCATCGTTGCCAGCCAAGAACTTCGGCACCCTTACTGTGTTAGCTGTAGGACCTTGGTCCAGTTGCCCGAGACCTTGGGCTGCGGTGTCCTCCTTGGCCAATGTGAGGCCTGGCTGAAGGCCTCTCCTCTCCTTTAAAAATAACTTGGAGTGTGTATGTAGTCTTGAGAACTCTGTTAAAGAACCTCCTAGAAGTGAAGTGTCTTTCTAGGACATACATTTGAACTAGACTAAACAAACCAACCCTCTGTATGTTGTTCACTTGCAGTGGCGTTGAAATAAATCCCCCAGCATACTTTCTGTTGGTCCCTCCTTTGTGGAAGACGCACGGCATCCCCAGGAGGCACCATTGCAGAGATTTTTGCCCCACTTCCTCCTCCCACACCAGTTGAGCCATTCAGCGATGACCTTGTCTGGCCTCAGGCCCCAGGACTTTCCCTCTGTTGCTGTTTGGTGATGTCTGGGAATCCCTCATCAGGATGCTCTCCAGTGGGTGGCAGAGATGAGGACTGACTTTCCTAGAGACGTGTTGAGCAATGTCTCCACATTGAGGGTGGCTGTTTTGTCTGGCTCAGTAGGAGAGGGGGGGCCTTGCAAGCAGGAAGGGAAGGCCCTTGTCCAGTGGGGTGGCTTTGCTACTCCTGTCAGGGTGCAGCTGGAGGCCTGGGAGGGGGTCCGCTCTTCCTCGGTGGCCCCGTGGGCTCAGGTCAGCACGAGCCTCCTGGAGGCCAGGCCTGGGT